CCAGCATCTCACGTTATCGGGCTCGCTATTGACATCGAGCACGAATTCAGTCGTGGCTTACTGTCCACGTATACGCCTGCCGCCTGCTTGAGACGTGGACAGTAACGTATGGCCCGGAATGAGACCGGCTTCACGTATCAAGTCCGTTATCCTAACCTTACCTTCTGCTTCATCGAAGTCGTTCTTCGACTTTCGCGTGATGCTTTCAGGCATGACCTATCACTATTGCATAACAAAAAACAATCACTGAACAAATCGATAGTCAACTGGCTAACTTTTGTCAAAAATTTACTCAGAGTTTCTTAGCAACTCACTCGGGTTAATTCACCATTTTTCTATATCTTTGTGRWTGTTTTGGGTGGGGTAGCGTTGAAAAACAAACCCCACCAGGGGAAATGTCAAGTGGTTCAAGGCAGAATATTTTAGTAGGTTAGAACAGCGGAATCATAATCGCTTGTAATTTTTGTGAAAATTTACCGGCCTTGTTTATTTTTTTTCGAGCCTTCGAAAGATTTTTTTTTTTTTTTTTGAGTAAGTTTTTTTGTTTGCCAAACATTTTTCAATATTTGTCGACAAGTTTTAAATTTTGATACGCGCATTTTATTTATCTCAGTTTTTTTTTCATCAAATCGCAATTGCCGGTTGCAAAAAAGAACATAATAGTTCCGGAAGTGCACTTTTGATAAATCTAAGTTGTGCCCTAAATCCCACAATAAATGTCGAATTTCGTTGCTCATATGATAGCATAGTGCTAAGAAAGCTAAAGTGAACAAACTGAAGATTAACCAATGAAAATAACAAATGAAGTAAAAAACAAACAAATAAAAGTGATAAAAAGTCAGACTAAGTTCACAAATTTTGACAAAAAGAATACTAAATAAAACAGTAGTAGCTAAAAAAGCACAAAAAGATAAGTCCAATAATACCACCTACAGGCAAATAAGCCATTATGAATTCTCTTTTTTTTTTACGAAATTTTTGATGATCGATCTCTCAAGGCCAAAGCAATCTAATATACTCGGAAAAAAACAAAGGTCGTAGGCTCGCTAGCTAGAGAAATATTAATCACTACAATGATACTTTTTTCTATTTTTTCAAGCATCGCTTTAGTTTCTGGACAAAATCAAGTCTCTTGGGTTAGGCGCGAAGCGCACGGAAAAGTATACCGAAGAAGGATACACCCGAGACTCATTCTCCGCTGCTAGAAAAAAAAGAAATGATCTTCATAAATTAGCTGAATCAAATCGTCGTAGATTCTTCAGAGTCGGGGGGAGCTGTAAAGTTGTCTCTTACCACTGGGCTATTTGCTGGGAACCCCTATGAATCTTGGTCCTCCGAATTCTCACACTGAGGAACAATCCAAGATTCAGGGCAATCAGCATGAAGGAGTTTACTACGGTCAATGTAGTGAACTTTGTGGTACCAATCATGCCTTTATGCCTATTGTAGTGGAAGCTGTCTCTTTCAATGATTATGTTTCTTGGGTGTCTAATAAATTAGACTAAAAAACAAAGGAGCGAAACTCTTCGGTGGATTCTTGAAGGCGCCTTGTGGAGACGACGTTTGACAAAAAAAAACATAAGTTTATATCAATCTTTATCTGTTGAAATACAGGATGCTTCGAAAAAACGGGCGGTGTGTACAAGGCCTGAGTACATATTCACCGCGGCATGCTGATCCGCGATTACTAGCGATTCCAACTTCATGTTCTCGAGTTGCAGAGAACAATCCGAACTGAGGCAATGTTTCAGGATTCGCTCCGCCTTAAAGCCTTGCTTCCTATTGTCATTGCCATTGTAGCACGTGTGTAGCCCAACCCATAAGGCTCTGATTCATGCAACTACTATGGTAACAGCAGGTGTTTTCATGATGGCAAGGTGTTCTCCCTTATTTGAATACGCACCCAAGGCTTTAATTGTGATTACTTTTGTGGGAGCTATGACATCCTTTTTTGCGGCAACTACAGGAATTTTACAAAATGATTTAAGCTCGAAGAGCAGACGCTTCGCGTCTGAATCCCACAGGCTCGTCAGCATAGTTGCTCCGTCCAAGAAATCACATGAAACACTTCTTTCACAAACTCGTTTTGTAATACAATCTCACAAAGGTTCCGTTGTACACCGACTCATCAGTGCTTTGGTTCCGTTGATTTCAGGTTGGGAAAACTACTTTAAGTTTTCGGAATGCTCTGCAATCTTTTACCGTATGGATTTCCGGATATTTCAACAACTTCGTGCATGGGTCTTTCGTAGACACCCTACTTGGGGTCGAGAAAGAATCAACAAGAAATAAAAAATAGAATCAATAAAGGAAAAAGGGGAATACCAAACCATATCTGTTTTTGTGCTATGACGATTTTTGTGAAATTACAAGAACGGGGTCTTGTAGTACAGGGTTGAATTCTTTTCCTGAATCAGTGCTTAAAAAGAAAATTCGAAGAAAAGGATCGGAGGTTAAACATAAAAAAACAGAGAAAAATAAAGCAATCCATTTGTGAATCATAAGAGCGGCACCATTCCCTCTGCCGGTAGGTGCGAAGTGATTGCAATATCAAGTCAATCTGTTCCGAAAATTTAGGATTCAATAATTTCATCCTAGAGATCCAGCGTTGTTGAAATTTAGCATCTTTGTAAAGCAACATCGTTTTTTTTCTTTAGTAGCTCACATGAATTTTGTCACTGCTTTTTTAATTCCAACTATACTTTTAGGAAATGTTTCCACTTTGATCTTGTTAAATATCCTACTTTTTTGGCATATGCATGTAGGAATAGAGGAAATTCAAGCAGACTAATAGCAGAAATTCACGAAATGTATTAGATTATTTGCATGTAGGTGGTATTATTGGACTTATTTTTTTGCTGGAAATTTTCTTAGTTGTAGATAATGATTACATTCCAATATTACCAAGGGCGCTAGCCAAGTCGAAGAGCGACTTCGATGAAGCAGAAGTTGTTGTTTAGTCACCTGTCCCCCAATCAATATCAATAGATGGGTAATCAACTCCCATACGGTCAGTATCCGCCGATTTCGACCTTACCACTTAGTTTCAATGGCAGGCAGGAAGTATAACAAACAGCGTACATTCGCGCGCTTCCCCACGTAACTAGATAATAAAGATTGCAAAAAAGCGAAATAAAAGTAACGACCAGGCGCGAAGCGAACATAACTCTCTTTTTGACAAACAAAGCCTATTAAAGCTGAAGCCGGATCAAATTTGAATCGATTTTTTGCATAGAAAAAATATTGCATAACCATTATCACCTCATATTACTATTTATAAGCCACAATTAACTTCAACTTTCTCTATTTTTCATAGAATTTGTGGTGCTTTTTTAGCTACTACTGTTTTATTTAGTATTCTTTTTGTCAAAAATTGTGAACTTAGTCTGACTTTTTATCACTTTTATTTGTTTGTTTTTTACTTCATTTGTTATTTTCATTGGTTAATCTTCAGTTTGTTCAATTTAGCTTTCTTAGCACTATTCTTCTACTTTTTTATGTGTTCTTTGAAAGTGTTTTAATCCCAATGTTTATTATTATAGGGGTATGGGGTTCTAGACAGAGAAAAATACGTGCAGCATATCAGTTTTTCTTTGTTTTCTCAATTGAAAACAAAGTGGCGAACAGGGCCATGGTCCAGTAGTGTCAGTAGGATTGGTGAAAGTCTGAAAGACAGAGGTCGATGTATGCGCATCTGTTGCTTTTGTGTTTTGGATGTATGAGCTTTCTCCAAACGATTTTGATCACACAACCTTTTGATAGTACGACTTCTGATCGCTCTTTCAGGCATAACTCGCCGCGATTAGTGTTGTGGTAGCGTCCCATATAAAACACACACACAGACACGCACACAAAGTTGATTGACACAGACCCTCAAACAGTTGATCACACAGGCACACATCGACACACATAACGGGCATGACAACGAAAAAAATTCACCCATGCATAGACACACACACACAACTTAAGTGCACACATGGATATGAGCACACATCAACTGACATACTGTAGAACATGGAGGAATAGAGGTCTACTTGCGTAGCAATAGATTATGGAACCGAGACATTAAGAAGAGAGCTCTTTTTTCGCAATCAGAAGGTTTGTAAGCAAGAATACTTACATCCTTTTTCATCTGCAGYCCTTCCGTAATGAATCTATATTAGTTAAACGAATTAAKATGAAACTCACGTAGGTGGCTTGGTCCTGGAGGCTTATTACGACCTGCGTAAAGGTGATGAGGTACCGTTTCTCTGAGCGAGAACCAAAACTGATGTCGATCAGGAAAAAAATGCATCCTTGAGTTCTTGACTCTTCATAACAGCAGCAGGACAGTCACAAGAACTGCACTACTATACTCTTAGACCGTTCTAGGGTGGGTCGTACTAGCAAAAATGCCATGTCATTGGCATGATCTGATAATGAGAGGAATAAGAATCAGATAACACACGGGCTTTACATACGAATCATTTTTCCTTTTACCGTTGCCAAAGCTTCGATAATGTTGCTGCGAGCCTGCGACAACTTTAGGCACAACGGAAATGCATAAGGATGAATTCACGACATTCGTACTTTTTGGACCCAATTTTACCATACATATACTCAGATATATACCTGACATTACGATTGCATGTAGACTCTAAATTCTGAAAAATGTTTATCTTGTCCTTTTCAACAACCGTCCATTGGCAGCTTCCCATATGGAGGTCTCCTAAAACCCACCACCTATCTCAGATTTTGCTCGGGTGCCACTCCCAGCAACTGCATAATTGGCTTCATTCAAACGGAGAGTTTGTGTGTCTTGGTAATGAAGTCCTGAAGAAGAAGAAGACAATGACGATGACGACGACGAGGACGACGAGGACGACAACGACGACGACGACGACGACGAAGAAGAAGAAGAAGAAGAAGAAGAAGAACAACAACAACAACAACAACAACAACAACAACAACAACAACAATAACAACAACAACACGGAAGAAAAGGGAAGAAGATGAAGAAGCGAATAATAAGGAATTGATTCCTGGGCATTAATTGGATCATAGTCAAATTGTAAAAATGATTAAAAGAGCCGACAAATGACAGAAGACAAGGCACAAAGCGCCATCAACGTTTTGTGCAGACTCTGAGCTGCAGATGGCATGACATGCAAGTTTTGGCTGCCTCACCAGGAGTGACAATCATTAAGGATCCTAGGTCCTCAGGACTACTGTCCAACCTTGAGAAAAAGCACAAGCGTTTGCATCTCCTCAAATTCATTCCTGGCATTAGGGATTTCGTGCTGTGCACAATCTAGTTGCATCCCCCGTGAAACCACCCTGGTCTGCAGCCACCGCCGTGTGGTTTGCACATTCCCACACAGCACTTCCCACTGCTGCAATCACTATCGGTGCAGCAATTTTTGCAACACAAACCGCCGTAGCACTTGTTGAGGCCGACTTTGCAGCAATCATTGTCTACGCAGCAGTCCTTACACACTCCACTGCAGCACTTCTTCGAGGTTGGGCAATGGCTGTCCGAGCAGCAAGCCTCGCATTCTGTGCCGCAGCATTGAGTGTCGGTGGGGCATTTCATACAGTTGCAGCAGCCTCGGGTTCCAGGACAACAGTCTCCATCTTTGCACCGTCCGTTGCAGCAGACCTTCCCTGCTCCGCAATCCCCATCACAGCAGCACGCCTTGCACACTCCATTGCAGCACTTGGTACCAGGCGGGCATTTCTTGCTGTTGCAGCAGCCCGGGGTTCCCGGACAGCATTCTCCATTGGAGCACTGTCCATTGCAGCAGACCTTCCCAGCTCCGCAGTCCCCGTCACAGCGGCACGCCTTGCACACTCCATTGCAACACTTGGTTCCAGCCGGGCATTTCTTGCCGTTGCAGCAGCTTGGGGTTCCGGGGCAGCATTCATTGTTGCAGCACTGTCCGTTGCAACACAGCCCGGTTCCGCAGTGCCCATCAGAGCAGCATGCCTTGCACACTCCATTTGTTGCATACCGTATAGGTGCGGACCAAAACAAGAACCGACCTTTCAATATAAGGTATAAGATAGCACAGCGGAAGACTTAGATACTAGTGATCCGAACAATCAATGTTGTAATGCAGCCCTGAACATACATCATCATCATCGCTTCATAGTGTGAATGGGTCTGGCGCTTCACACAGGAAGACAGCGCCAGCCCAGAACATGCACAGACGAGGAGGAAGGGGATAGACGAAGAGGAGGGGGAAGATGGGAATGTCGTCAACACCAAGTCTTCGGCACAAGCCCAAATAGTCCCTCGTCGAACTGTCTGAATCCCAAATGTCAAGTCTGGATCCAATGTCGTCAAGTCTCAAGTCACAACTCTGTCTCTCTCTGTCGTAGTCTGAGAAGCCAGGTGGCGAGAGGGTGAGAAGAGAAGGTGGACTTAGAAGAGGAAGAAGAAGAACTCTCTCTCTCTCTGTGTCCAGTACTAACCTGTGATGCAGGTACCACGAAGATGGAGCTGGGGCGATGGCGCCACAGGTAAGTAGCACTGGCCTCCGCCAGTCTCTCTCCCACTCTACGATCTACTACCTACCAGCGCCCAACGCTGAAGACTAAGCTACAGCTATGGCGCCCAGCGCCGAAGACTACAGCTAGCGCTACCACTACTGCCTAGCGCTGAAGACTACTGCAGCGCTCCTCCTGAGTGCTGCGGCSGAATCCTGAAGACTAMCTCTGCCTACTGACTCTGCCTGCCCKTGAAGTGCATGGGAACCTCCTATGTACTACGGGTGTGCCTCTTGAGCCTGCCKAAGGAAGGCAGGGGCTGMAGCTGYAGCTCCTGCTCGAGCACGTGAGGAACAGGCTATTTTGGGCCTGTTCCGCATCCCTGTTTCCGTGCCTGAGTCTTAGGGGCAGGTCGAAACAATGAGGGCCTGCAAATGGCCCTCCGTTTCAGGCTGAAAACTCTGGGTCTGAAAAGACCCAGAAATAGGCTGAAACGAGGTCAGGCCTGCAGGCCCTCGTTTTTCAGCATCCAGGCTGAAATGAACGGGGCTTGTAAGCCCTAAGTTTTAGGCTTTTAGGCTGAATGTCCGGGACGGGCCCTGTAGGCCCGTGTGGCTCTGCAGTATGCCACACCATTGCAGCATTGGGTGCCGTGGGGGCATTTCTTGCCGTTGCAGCAGCCCGGGGTCCGAGGACAGCATTCTCCGCCGCAGTTTCCGTGGCAGTCCCTGCCTGTGCACAGAGGAGGGGTAACGCCACTCCCACCACACCCCCCCTCTGGGCACACAATAATGGTAGGCTTGCACCATCCCATCTCGCATCCGTGGCCATCTCCACAGTCTGAGTTGCCACTACATGTGGTACATGGGCCGTTTCCGCACACGGGGATCACCACAGCTCCTCCCGCATCTGCACCCCGGCTGAGCAGGGCAGCTACAAGAAAGAAGACCGAAAATAGACAGGGGCCACTCTTAGCCATGGTTGCGTCTCTGAGAATGAGTCCAACTTGGAGATGAATCTGCAAATAATATC